AGGGAGGCGTCCAGGAGGCATCCTGACCAGATGCCTGAGCCTCAACTGGCTCCTCTCGACGTGGAGGAGCAGCAGCTCTACTCTGAGTCCCTCCTGGATGACCGAGCTTCTCTCTCTAAGGGAGAGTCCAGCCACCCTGAGGAGGAAACCCATTTCGGCCGCTTGTATCCGTGATCTCATTCTTCTGGTCATGACCCAAAGCTCATGACCATAGATGAGGGTGGGAACGTAGATCGACCGGTAAATCGAGAGCTTCGCTTTTTGACTCAGCTCCCTCTTCACCACGAAGGACCGGTACAGCGCCCGCTTCACAGCAGACGCTGCCCCAATCCGCCTGTTGATCTCCCGCTCCCTTCTTCCCTCATTCATGAACAAGATCCCCAGATACTTAAACTCCTCCACTTGAGGCAGGACAACCCCCCTAACCCGGAGAAGGCACTCTACCCTTTTCCGGCTCAAGTCCATGGCCTCGGATTTGGAGGAACTGATCCTCATCCTGGCCACTTCACACTTTTTCTTTTCTTATTTTTCATTGACAATAACAAAAGGATTCCATTTGGACATGAAGACATTTCAGTTAGAGATTTCTCTTTTTGGGCTTGAAATAAGAAAATTTTACTTATATAAAATAAGTTCTAGACTTGAAGTTTGATTGGTAAATATTGATATTCTAGATTCTAGCACATATTTACTCATAAGTAATATTTTCTTAATATCAAGCTTTTATATCTTATTGAGATAATTAAGTACAAAAATACTTAAAATGAGAAAAATATTCTAACATAAACCGTCTTGGTGAGAAAAATGACCTTGTCAGAAAGAAAACAAGAAAAATCTCCTTAATTTAAGATATTTAATCTTACTGAGATTTCAGTTTTTGCAGTGTGGTTCCGTTGATCTATGAAACCCGTTTCATACCGGACCACTTACAGCTCCGGTGTTAACGCTATAAAATGAACGCCCTCTATCGTGGTGTCACCATGGAGGCTGGGGCCGGCCCTGTATTTCAGTTATTGTTTCATTATTATTATTGTTGTTATTGTTATTATATCTTAGATGTAGAAATGCTCTAGCTAGTTTGCCGTCTGTTGTCAAGTGACTGGTGATGACGTTGGTGACAAGCTTTACCCAGAATGCACCTGGAGACAAAAAGGACGATCCTCTTGTAATTTTGCATCTCATAAAGTTAAATGTAAGAGTAAATATAAAGCCAATCATGTAGCACAACATTTTATTCAATATTTTACACCCACTATGTCTGGTAAAGTTTTTAGCCACCAGGAGTCAACAGTGACTGTGGCAGCTGCTATATAACCTACTGGGGCATCAGTTTATATAATCCTACATACACCGTACTGAACAGGAGATGGTCCACCTTCTCCAGCTCTCATCAACGTGATAAAGGCCTGGATCATGTTCTGCCTCCCATCCAGGCCCCTGTAGGACCGGGCCGGGGCCCACCGCAGCCCGCAGCTCCACCCCCCATATCTCCGCACCTGGGACTGACGCAACATGAGGAAAATGAGACGATGCTTCCAGAGGAGAGAAGACCAGGTTAATGGAGCCGCCATGTTGCCGTAGATCCTGAGAAGAGATGAAGGACGGCTAGAGGAGAGGAAGAGACACTTGGTAAAGTTTACCAGCTGAATCTCCAACCCAGACAATGAAGTCCTGAAACTCTCCTAACAGATGCTCTGATGCTAACCGCTAACCACAAGCTGCTGCAGGAGCAGCACTAGCAGTGAAAGACACTAAAAAGAGAACTGTTTGCTCTCTGAGGAACGGTAGTGGCAGCATCAGCACCAGGTGTCAGTCTGCACCTCACAGCTTCAGGGACTGACCAGGACCTGATCTCTACAGGAAGTCAGACCATGAAGATGGAGTGAGAGGAGACACCCAAGATCCTCCAGGTTCACCTTCTCATCGTTAATTATCAATATGAAAACGTTTTTTTTAACCCTACAGACTTTAACTAGACCTTCTTTTAACCCTCTATTATGTCATCTCTCTGATTATTGATTATCTTCTCTCTGACTTTATGCAGAACTTTATTATCTAAGTTCTTCTGCAGCTCGGGAAGTTTCAGCCTTCAGGGCTTCAACACAGTCCAGACTGCACCGCTGGTGTTTGGCCACCAGAGGGAGATGCAGCAGCAGGAGGAAGATGATGGAGGTCAGTGACTGATTAGGTAAACTAACAGGTGAAGCAGATGGTTCTGGTTCTGATTGGCTGTTGAACAGGATGAATGAATCTGATTGGATGTCAGTGGGTGGGCGGGGCCTCTGCCTGTGTGGCAGCAGCTGTGCATCAGGACTCCATTACCCAGCATGCAGCGGGGCAGCCAGTAAAATCCCTAAAGAGGATTTGAGTGGATCAGAGAGGAAACATGCCGCTGAAGAAGGAAGGTGAGACGAGCTGCGGGTCCATGGGAGGGACGGGTCAGAACCGAACCGGACGGGTCAGAACCAGTCGGGACGGTGGTGTCATTATTGTTTATTGTTTCTGTCTCTGACCTCAGTCAGTCTTCTTCAGTTCGGTTTCCTGCTGTCATCTTCTTGTGACCTCTGACCTCTGGTAGTCTCCATGTTGAAACTGGGAGCTCTGGATTAACCATTCTAACCAGTTTTAATGGTTTAACTGGACCTGCAGGGTTTTCTACTGGTTTGACCTCAGAGGTCATGTGACCTCAGAGGGTTTGGAGCTGACCCGGGTCATGTGACCTGAGAGGTCATGTGACCCGAGAGGTCAGGCTCCCAGGTAGAGACTCGATGAGATGACTGACAGAGAGACGAAGGAACTGAAGAAGAAGAAGAATGATACTAATAATAATATTTATAAAGGTTCTAATTATTCATGCTTCACTGCTGGATGTTTATAATTGATCTGATATTCAGGAGGAAATGTTCTGATCCATCGACCAGTATTTCACCTTCCTGCAGTCAGAACCTCCTGCAGTTTCTCCACACTGAGCCCAGCAGCATGGGTCAGAACCAGAACCGGGTCCAGACTCAGAGGTCCAACAGGTTTCTGGGTCAGACCCATCAGAACCGCTGACCATCTGGTTCTGTCTCCTCCAGATACGGAGCGCGCTCTGCAGGTCATGGAGGCCTGCCAGGCCCAGGCTGCTGACGGGGTCAAAGGTCGAGCTGAGAGGCTGCTCAGCATCTTCCAGAGTGACCTGTTCCAGGCTCTGCTAGGTAACACACACACCAGTTCACCCAGTCTAAACCAGCCTAAACCAGTTTAACCCAGTTCACCCAGTCTAAACCAGCCTAAACCAGTTTAACCCAGTTCACCCAGTCTAAACTAGTTTAACCCAGTCTAAACCAGTTTAACCCAGTCAATCTGTCATGTTTGAAGGTGTTTATTGATACTGGAAAATTCAAACAGGAAGAAGGTGGATCAAACTGAACCAGGAGGAACAGCAGAACCCAGTAAAACCAATCAGAACTCAGGCTTGTCCAGGTCTGAAGGACCCAGATGTAGGAGCTCTATGCTCCACCAAACTCAGGTCCAGATGAACCGGACCTTCAGAACCAGGACCTCCTGTTCTGGTCTGATGGAATGTCTAGGTCCACAGAGACCCGGTCCAGAACCTCCAAAAGGTTCTGACCTCCAGTTGACCTGCTGCTGCAGTTCTCCATCTGGCCAGAAGAGGTGCTGTTTGAATGACCTGGTTATTGATGACATCATCTTACCTGAGCTCAGGTTAGCTCCGCCTCTCAGCAACTCGGGATGCATCCAGTCCTGTTCAGTCACTTCAACCCGAATCCAGTTCCATCTGTCTAGTCAAAGCCCGGATTGGTTGGTGAGGTGTGTATGCTAACTGACCTCTGACCCTTCAAACCTCATGTGGGTTCAGTTGAAGTGAACTCTGGTTGGTCTGAATGTGAACGCTATTGGACCACTCCAAAAGCAGAAAGTGGACTACAGCACAGGGCATTCTGGGTAAATCCAACCAAAGCTAACGTGCTAGCCTAGCGCTAGCAGCAGAAATGGCTCCTGGTCTTTAGCCTAAAGAGAAATCCTCCAACCGCTAAAATCTGACGCCTCCATCTTGTTTCCATCTGGTGAAGAAGGAAGTTGCTCTCAGTGTCTTCAGAGGTTTTTGTGTCGTTTCCCTAAGTGGTTCTTGGTGCAGCGCCCCCACAGGCCAGGAGGGGAACAGGCTGGTTTGACTCAGCACCACAGCAGCTGGAGGTGGAGCAGGTGATGGAGTTCTGGTTCCAGTAGAACCGGGTCAACTGGACCATCAGGACAGACAACCTGCTTTACTGGAGGCTCCGCCCCTTTTACCTCAGGATTAACTGTGCTCTGATTGGCTGAGGCTTCAGGTTCACTGAGTTTCACCTGAGAAACCATCATGATAACCTGGAGACGGTATGGGTTCTGACCGGGTTCTTAACCAAGTATTACTGGGTTCTAACCAGGTGTCCCCCCCCTCTGGGCCCCCACCTGGTACAACATGTGACAGAGGAGCCGGCTTGTGATTGGTCCAACCTGACTGTGTTCTCTGTGTGTCCTCGGTGTGTGTGTGTGTGTGTGTGTGTGTGTGTGTGTTGCAGACATCCAGGAGTTCTACGAGCTGACGGTGTGTGAGAGCCAGACGTCCAGCCGGCCACACACACCTGCACAGGTAGCTTCCCTCACACTCCATCTGCACAGCAACACCTGTGTCTGTTACCTAGCAACAGCTGCAGCAGCATCACCAGGGCAACAGCTGCATAACACCATGGCAACAGGAGCCCAACCCCCACCCTCTCTCTCTCTCTCTCATCCTGAGTGGACGTCGCTCGCCCCCCTCACCCCCACACAGAGGTTCTCCTCTTCATCATCATCATCCTCAGCCGACAGACGAAGGGACAGAAGGGGCGAGCGAGCGTTTACTCACAGAGAGAGAGAGCATGAGTGTGTGAGTGAGGGAGTGTGTGTGTGTGTGTGTATGCGAGGATGTGTGTGTGTGAGAGTGTGTGAGTGTGTGGGGGGGATATGGACTGTCTCTGCATTGTCACCACCAAGGTAAGAGCTGAGCTCCGCACGAGACAGGAGAGAGAGAGAGAACACACACACACAGAGAACACACACAGAGAACACACACACACACACACACACACACACCAGGCGTGTTCTGATCCAACATGTGTCTGGGTCTCTCAAGGATACATAGACTGTGATCTCTTGTGTGTGTGCTGCTTTCACGAGTGAAAGTGTGTGTGTGTGTTAACGTAGCCACGTTAGCATGTAGCTGCTGCTAACTGCTAGCAGGGTGCCAGATGCAAGAGCAACATGTGGCCGGGTTCTGCCTCAGGTCCGGTACCAGACGGATTGGATCACAGGGAGGTTCTGATGGAACCGGGTTAAAGGTTCTAGTCAGAACCCAGCCGAGCCCGGTCCGGTTCCTGTTGTTTTTATTGAATGATCTGGTAACAGGTTAGTTGGCGGGTCTGACTAAGATGATGTCATAACCATGATGTTGTAAACATGGAGGATGTTTATGAATGAACTGATTCAGTAAATAATAACACTTTAATGAAAAGTTGATCCATGAACACGAGTTTATAACAACTTGTTATAAACATCATGTCTCATTCACACCCGTCAAATGGACCGGTACCGATCATCTAAACTCGGATCAGAACCTGAGGCTGAACGGATGCAGCGACAAACATCTAAACCTTCAGCACCAGCAGACCAAACTGGACCGAACAGAACTAGACTGGACCTGCTTTTGTCGGTTCTGATCGGCTCCATTAGCTGGTCCAAAACCTGCAGCCTGTTGTTCAGTGGTACCAGGAGTTCAGGTCCAGTTTCAGCTGATCTGGTTCTGTTCCGTCTTTAAGGGTTTGTTTTCCTGAACCAAGTTCTGATCCAGTTCTGGTCCAACAGAACCAAGTGGACCCGGTTTCTGGAGTGGCAGCCTCTATAATTCGACCCGGTACCTGGTTCTGGTTCTGCAGGTTCCAGAATCTCTTACCGTTTGGATCACGGTGACGGAGGTTCAGCAGGTTGCTGGTTCGATTCCCGCTCTGTCCGTCTGTGTCATTAGGGTTAGCAGGACTCTACCCACTGTGTTCTGGGTCCAGTAGAACCGGTTCTGGGTCCAGTAGAACCGGTCCGGCGTCCAGTCGTACCGGTCTTGGGTCCAGTGGAACCGTTTTTGGGTCCAGTGGTACCGGTTCTGTCCGTAGCTCTCCACCATCAGTGGCTGGAGGAACTCCATATAAGGACTTTAAGTCCCACCAGTTGGGCCCCATCAGGTTATTAATGTTTCTGCTGATTCTGGTTTTTATTATTTCTTTTAGCCGTTTGATCTGATTTGATATCTTCTGACATTGAAACATCTTTTGGGATGAATAAAGTTCTGTTGAATTTGAATGGAACTGGACCCGACCAGAACTCCAGGACATGTTGGACTCATTCCTCTGGTTTCACTGGTTTCTGATTCTTGTCCACATGTTGACATTATAACGGTTAGATTTTATTTTGTTGCATCACTTTTGAAGTAATCGGTTCAGAACCGACTGGAGTTCTGGACCAGTTCTGGTCATACCGGATCATCAGACTGAATTTATTTACTAAAGTTAAATTATGTTATAAAGATCCAAAACTCACTGAGGAGCAGCTGAACAACCATCCAGCTATAAACGACGGTCTAGTTTCCAGTCTGACCCTGAATGCATCGTTACCGTAAACCTCAGTGTGGAGGAGCAGCTGGACCCGTTCTGGACAGCAGAACCGGGTCAGAGTGACGGGATGGATACAGTGTTCTGGTTCTGGTTACTGGAGAACCAGAACCAGAACCTGAACCTGGCTGGTTTAAATAGCAGAGGAGCAGTTGGTCCCAGAGGACAGGAACCAGAACCGGTCCATCTCCAGAACCTTGTCAGAACCGGGTCAGAACCGGTCCTCTAGGATTCATAAAGCCTCCACTGTGTTTATGAATGGGCTCTGGCTCCGCCCCCTCTCAGTGACATCAGTTACCAGGCAACCAGCCCTCAGAGTGAAGGGGGGAGTTCTGTTACCATGGTAACCAGTCACATTCGTTTCTCTTTGTGGCTCAGTTCAAGTTTTCATCTCCTCCTCTTCCTCACCAGGAGGGTTAGTGGAACCACTGTGATTTTCTCTGGGTCCAGTTTGGGTTCTGACAGACCAGAACCGTCACTGAGATCCAGATTAACTCTGGGGAGGTTCTGATGGTTCTGGACCGACCCAGAGGAAGTTCTACTGCTACAGGCTAGCTGCTAACAGATAGCCTGCTGAGGTTCTGGAGGTTCTACGGAGAAATGGACCGGTCCTCATTTTCTCCAGAACCTCTCCAACAGAACCTGTTGAAGTGAGAGAAACCAGGTCCATCAGAACCAGATCTGCTGGCATCAGAACCTCTGAGGAGATGTAGAACCAGAACCAGAACCCTCTGCTGGTTCTGATGGGAAGTGTCAGTAGGTCCAGTTAGGACCGGATGACCTCTGGTGACCCCAGAGGAACCACAGACCAATCAGACGGCCGTTCAGGTTGGAGAGGTTCTGGTTCTGAACTGTTAGCCTGATCCGTTAGCGTGTTCCCCGCTCTAACCCTAACCAGAACCTGACCGTCTGGTTCTGTTTCTGCAGAAGTACCGTTACCATGACGATGAGACGCCGCCTGTGGACCCCAGCCCCGGTCACATGACCCACAGCGCCGAGCTGAGCCACGCCCACCTGGACGGATACACACACCCTGCAGCCGCGCTCACTGTAGGTACCGTCACACACCAGACTACACTACCCACAATGCACCTGGCAGACAGACTGCAGGTCACTGAGCGGCCTCCAGGGGGCAGCAGCTGCTCTGCAGCTTAATGAGCTCCATCTGCTGCTGACCTGCAGACCGAGACATCATTATGGACCTGACAGAACCAGAACCACTGGACCGGGTCAGAACCCACTGATAATGGTTCTGGTTATTGGGTTTTCTATGTGAGATTCTAATCTGGATTATCAGGGAGTCTAAACAGCAGAATCTGGTTCTGGTTTCCATCAGAACTCTGCAGCATTTTGGATCCTGATTTTAACTTCCTTCAGCCTGAAGGAACATCAACATGGATTATAGATTATAGATTATCAGCTTCACAGCTGGCAGGAGGTTTATAATCTATGCAATAATCCAGAGATGAGAGAAGGAAATACTAGAAACTGGTTTAATATGAGATTAAATGACATCCTGGTTAAAATAACCCAGAGGTAAAGATCAATAATCTACTGATCAGGATGTTTTGCTGGTCCAGAAACAAACTAATTCTATCTAGTGATTTTACCAGATCACAGACGGTTGGTCCTTCAGGGATCAGTCTGTATCATCATCATACAGAAAGACAAGCAAATTAGATCCAGTGCATCCAAAGAAAGACCTGGAGTCACACCTGGAGTCACACCTGGAGTCACACCTGGAGTCAGAACTGGAGTCACACCTGGAGTCACACCTGGAGTCAGACCTGGAGCCACACCTGGAGCCACACCTGGAGCCACACCTGGAGTCAGAACTGGAGTCACAACTGGAGTCAGAACTGGAGTGACACCTGGAGTCACACCTGGAGTCAGAACTGGAGTCAGATCTGGAGTCAGAACTGGAGTCAGATCTGGAGTCAGATCTGGAGTCACACCTGGAGTCAGAACTGGAGTCAGAACTGGAGTCAGATCTGGAGTCACAATTGCAGTCACACCTGGAGTCACACCTGGAGTCACAACTGGAGTGAGAACTGGAGTCAGATCTGGAGTCACACCTGGAGTCACACCTGGAGTCAGATCTGGAGTCACACCTGGAGTCACACCTGGAGTCAGATCTGGAGTCACACCTGGAGTCAGATCTGGAGTCACAACTGCAGTCACACCTGGAGTCAGATCTGGAGTCACAACTGCAGTCACACCTGGAGTCAGAACTGGAGTCAGAACTGGAGTCAGATCTGGAGTCAGATCTGGAGTCACACCTGGAGTCACACCTGGAGTCAGATCTGGAGTCAGAACTGGAGTCAGATCTGGAGTCAGAACTGGAGTCAGAACTGGAGTCAGAACTGGAGTCAGAACTGGAGTCAGATCTGGAGTCAGATCTGGAGTCAGATCTGGAGTCACAAGTGGAGTCACACCTGGAGTCAGCTTCCTGCAGAGGAAGAGCAGTTCTGGTCCCAGCAGCAGGTCTGAGGTCAGCTCTAAGCTCTACTGCTCACATTAATATTCACACTGCTGAGATCAGAGCTGCTGCTGTAATCACACACACACACACACACACGCACACGCACACACACAGGGAAAGCGTTGCACACACAACCACACGCACATATACACACTCTCTCTCTCTCCGTAGCGTGGGCCGCCCGTTCCCTCTCTCAATGCATCCTTCTGCTTTTTGCTCAGGCGTCTCCATGGAAACGCTGAGAACGGCAGAAGGGGGGGTTGGCATGGAAAAGAAAAGACAGTGGAGGGGGGATTGTTACCATGGCAACAATATTAACCAGAACATGTGTGTGTGTGTGTTTCTAAAATCTTTTAGAGAGAATACATCTCTCTCTCTCTGCCTCACTCGCCCTGGTGAGTGACATCACAGAGGGGAGGGGATTCCTCTGAAGGAGGGGAGGAACATCGGGAGAGAGAGAGAGAGAGGGATGGACCGCCTCTCTGTCTCTCTGCAGGACTCTGTCGCTGCTCCTCTTCCTCCTGCAGGAGTCTTCTCCGTCTCCTCTTCCTCTCTGAGCGAGGGACGATGTCCCCTCCGTCCATCATGTCTCCGCTCTTTGTTGATGCGTCCAGGACACGGTCCATATCGAGCTGAGCGTCTCTCGGTTAATAATTCATCTGTCCTCATTGCCATCCTTATGTAAGCACCGTCCCTCTGAAGACAGGAGGGGGGACACACTGAGACATCGTTTGGGACAGGTGGAGACATCCTGAGGGGACATCCTGAGGGACAGGCGGAGACACAGGGAGGGATGTTTGTGTCCGTCTGGTACGCCAAGAAGATGGGAAGAAGATTCATCAACAACGTGAGGAGAGCAAAGAGACACAGGCAGAGGATGATGGTAGGACACTGATTGGTCCACTGGGGTCTGCTGGCTTCTGATTGGTCCTCAGGGAGGGGCGGGGCATGGTGGGAGCCAATCAGGTCAAGAGGAGTTACTGTGACTCAGAGGGTGGAGAAGATGGAGGGTTCAGGACCTTCTGGTGGACGGGTTGGTGGTTCTGGTCCAGATGGTTGGTGGTTCTGGTCCAGATGGTTGGTGGTTCTGGTCTGGATGGTTCCTGGTCGTTGGTGTCCTGCAGCTTGTGTGTCAGAGCCGATCGGTTCTCCAGAGTTCTGCTATTGATTATTGGACTCGGCTCCAAAAAGACGTTTCCAGAACCTGCTGGACTCTGGTCCTCTGTTTTCAAGGATCCCTGCTGGTTCGGTACCGATGAACCCGTTTGGACCTTTCTTCCACTCTGGAGACCAGGCCCTATTCCAGCTCGGTACCGTTTGGACCCCCAGCGGTCCACCAGCAGGTCAGGTGGTGACGGCGCCTCCTTCTGGTGGAACCAGAGGTCCTCAGGTTGGATCCTCTCCGTCTGATTGGTTGACCTGAAGGTACCAGGTGGGGGGTGGGAGGGAGGTGGTCTCTGATTGGACCATGACAGGAAGTGATGTAGCCATCTTGTTCAGGAGATGTGGTGTGACAGAAAGCTGGTTACCGTGGCTACAGCCACAGTCGCCTAGGTAACCAGTCCCCCAGGCAGCAGCAGCTGTTACCATGGAGTTGCCATGGCGACGGCCAGCAGAGATGCTGGAGAGCGACTCAACTGTTTTCTCTCTGCTTGATTTTCCAGATGAACGGATCAGAAGGAGAGCTGGAGTATGAGGAGATCACTCTGGAGAGGGTGAGGAAACACACTCTGAAACACATAGATCTATACTGATACACATAGATCTATACTGATGCACAGGGGTGAAAGTAGTTTTAAATTCTTGGGGTACTACGTATATATATATATATATATATATATATATAGAGAGAGAGAGAGAGAGAAATTCTTTGTGTGCTTTGGAGTTTCTGTGCTGATTAATTTTTTGCAAAGTGATAAAAGCTGGTAGCTCTTGAATTGCTACAAAGTAAAGCTGTATTTCCTCCTTCCACCCACTGGCTGCCATGTTGACACCTTGAGACGCCATGAGACCTAAAATCTGAACATCATGGAGTCATCCCAGTTTTCCATGTCTGGCATATAACCATTCATTTTATCTTTTAAACTGGTTCTATTGATCCTGTGTCCAGACAGAGGGATAATCAGCAGCCCAGCATCATGACCTGTTTGTTCTGAAGATCCTGCAGCTTCCACTTTGTCTCCCTAACATGGCGCCTCCTCACCCTGACTCTCATACTGATAGGAGGAACCACAGAGCTCTGTTAGGTTAAAGCTCATCTTCTGAAGTTGGGATATTTTTCCTCCAACAGGTTCCAGAGGAATCACCTCAAACCAGATGTTGGACTGGATTTTATTTCAATGTCATTTGTGAATGTTAGAGCCTCATTTTCAACAGTGGAGCTATAAAGGTTTTCATTTTGGAGAAAATCTCATCAACATCAATATTTCAACTAAATAAGAGGCAAAAAAAAAAAGAAGTTTGATAAAGGAAAAGCCTCTCAGACTCTGAGCTTGACAGCATCAAACTATTGTTTTTTATTAGACAATTACTTTAATTTCACATAATTATTGTGGTAGAAGCCATTTGTTTGTTAAATACTTAATGAAACATATTTACCGTGTTCGATGTTTGTTGTAAATGATGTATACTCACAAAGAGAATTAGTCCAAGTTTGTTGTTTATTGAACGTTCAGAAATTACAGCGGCTGTAAAGAGCCACGGCAAAGGTAAACAAAGGTAAAACAACCTGAACAGGTGATCAACTCAAAACCACTGACACATTTTTACTCTCCGTCTCTCTCTTTGTCAATTAAGCACACCCGTTGCCATGGCAAC